GCCGCCCTGTGAGCAGTTTCCAACTGCTGCTCCTTTGCCTCGTCAAGGTGATTAGTGATAATGCCGCTTCCCCCCGGAAGACGAGAGGTCGGGAAACGGACACGGTGTCCACAAGAATTCGACCAGTGCTCACTCCGCGCCATTAGCGCACCTCGCCCTCCTCTTCTTCCCAACCCAGGAAAGCAGTATCCGACTCGTAGTTGACTTCCCCCAAACTCTCGACGAGGATATCCCTCGCCCATGGCGGGCGCGGTGTGCGGTGCCCGGTTGTCTATGGCTTGGAATGTGCTTTCAGCGAAGCCGCGTACTCTCGCGAGGGGTCCTGGTCAGCCCGGTGCGGGCGCTCGACCATTTAAAACCATCTACAAGAATGAAATGAAAAATGCAGCCCGTAAATATCTGGTGTTACTGCAGATGTGGTACCGCGATACTGCTCAGCACTTATGCAATCTCTCTCTTTTTCTTCAGCTTGGATGAGTTCCACCGACTTTGGGCTAGAAGAGTGCTTTTATCTACTGTTCTTCATTTTCAACCAGCCGTCTGGGCACCGATGATGTAATCCGCTTTTTTGCAGCGCCCACATCTGTGAGGTCTAAGAACATGACAATAACACGGTAAGTACCCCGTTACAAAATGCTTCTTAGCGAGACGCGTGATTGCAAGGTCAAGCAAGGCAAGTATTACTGTTGCTCTTTGCTATACTAAAATAGAACAGAATTGTTAAAGTATGCCTTGATTAATCATCAACAGGGCGTTGTTGTCGTGTGGAGTGATTTCGATAACATCTTTTACGAGCTAGTTGATGATGCCGAACGCAAAGTGCTAGTCCATAATGCACCTAGTCATGCTGTTCATATGCACTTCTAGCCTTAATATATAACCACATTTAAAAAACCAATGAATACCGGGATTACTCGCAACTTCAATCAGTACTCAATAAAACCCTTATTAACGGATGCACCTGCTAACATCAATGGAGGAGTTGTGCAAGCCACAGAATTGAAAATCTTTTCTTAAGACTCGAGCTGGCGGGTCCATTGAATGCTACGAGCTTTTTTGCGGCTGATAATAGGGTGAGGACGAAACGTGTAATTTGCCAAGTGACAGCGATAGAAGTTTGCCGAAAGAGACACCTTTTTGGCAAAGTGAATCACTAACTGCAGCTGTAATAACAGGTATATATGGACCAGCGTGCAGAAGTTACTACCAATATCTATTTAAAGTGAACCTCCTACATTCAATGACGAAAGAGTCCTTCGTAATTTTGTCTCTTGTAAACATTATGAGAAATTGATGCAAACTTCGGCAATCTTCCTTATATCAGGTCGAAAACCCACATTTTATATGCTTGTGCTAGTTGAGCATATGATAACATCATTGTGCAAATTGATTACGACGGGTAGCCAAGCTTAGTTTGTTGTGCTATATTGTGGAATCATTGTTGTCATCAACCGAGACGTTTCTTTAAACTGTCACAATAACGGCTTCATTTGTTCCTGCGAAAGTCGATGGTTGGACCATCATATTATAAATGGCCTTAAAATAAGTTACATTCCACATGTCTTGATCTGACAGGTTTGAAGCTGAAATCTATAGAAAAAATAGAAAACCAACTTCAGCGAACATGATTAATTGCAACAATGTTCATTGACAAAATACTTTTACTCTTTCAAGCGGAAATACGACTTGAAAGTGAAACGTATCGTACGACGAAGTAGTAACGAAGAGAAACTGCACGATATAAGCATATATTAATGAGTTTTGGCCTTGAGCTATAGTTCTTCATAGCTTTTCTTTCATAGATTCGCCGACGTATCTTCCAAAAAGCAGTAAATATTGTCGTCACCACACAACCAAGCCAATTCTACGAGTCATTGTCGCTTTTCGCTACTAATAATAACAAGTGACTACGCAGCTATAAAAAATATCACACTTGCGCTCTTAACTGGTTGCGCACTCTTGAATAGCCTGATGGTCTTCACCGCCAGATTGAAAAACCAGGCGTACCATATTTCGCATTGCACCCTCAAACGAAGTCCCAATATCATTCATTTGGCTTTGGTTTCTCGAAATGATGTCCGCCAATTCACTTTCCGTTGGAGTGTTCTCTTTGCTGCTGATAGGACTCCAGAGTCGAATCACGTTTTCAATACCACTCGTTGCCAGACAAGCATCAAATGGATGAGGCTGTATACAATTTACAATATCTGCATCCGCTTTGATAGCGTTCACCAACTCTCCAGTAAATTTATCCCACACTAGCGCCCGGCCGTCATCACTTCCCGCAATGATGTAAGCATCATTCTTACCAAAAAATACCGCTTCTTTTATGTCGGTTTGCACATTGCAATATCCAATATAGCGTCGAAGAGCGTCACAATTCACGGGTGTGCTACACACCAATCCGCCCTCCCAGAAACCATCATCATCATCGGGTAAATTGTCCTCATCAGTCCCGTCTTGGATCTCGTTAGAACCATCCTCCTCATTATCACTTGAATTGTCTTCATCCATTGACTGGAGCAAACGAATAGTTCGGTTTCCACCTTGGTCAGCTGATGCGAGCCCGTCCATAATTGAATTTACATCCGCTTCATGATCTGGGTACTTCTGTTTGTATCGTCGTGCCTGCCACTTGGCTTGTGGCTTCCTATTTCCTGCACTAAGTGCTTTAATATACGTCAACTCCACCTCGCGATCATATGGATCAAGCTCTAAAGCCTTTTTGCACTGGACAGCAGCTAAATAAGTATCAGCATTCCATGACCGCCCAAGATAAGCCTTCGCGCAGTCATGATGCAGTTCTTTCCGTTGTGTCGCAGTCATTTCGATCATGCCAAGTGCACCACACGCCAAATTCAGCGACTTAAGAGCTCGTGTATACTCATTTGTTTTTAATGCCTCTCGTCCTTGATCATGTAGCATTTGCACTCCTTCCAAATGCAAATCCAGCGGCAAAAATGGTTCATCCATGTGCGAACCATTCAGCCAAGCAAGCGGTCGGATATGGGGCTCGCTCTTGTTATCTGTTGTAAAGACTACTGTCTCATTTGACCTAACTCTAAATAGGTAAATATGGTCGTTATGATAATTCGCCAAAATTTCGGATCCGTCACTGCTAAATTGAATGCTCGTTCCATGGCATTTATCATGCAATCGCTGCGCCTTGTTATCACAATAAGTATCCAAGTGTAAATGTGGTGGTGCGAAGACTTCTATAGGGTTTGTAGCTCCAGCATTTTTAGCCGTTGAAATATGCTGTTGTACTCTTAACATGCGTCGATCATACATTCGTGTGTAAAAGTCGCCACAGGCTAAAACGACTTTAGTAGGGTCCAATGGATGCACCGTAATGCCCATTCCTCTCAATTCTCGACCATTTCGATCTTTTCCCAAATTTATGAGAACTCCGGAAGTATCGGGAACTTCACATCGTCCACTTGTTTTAGGTAACGCACGTAGATCAAATTGATACACCAATCCATCCTCTGCTGCGGTCCAAAACACTTTGGGCACTGCCCAAGACGTCCCAATGTCTTTCACTCGATTTCGATGAACACGAAATACTTTCGAGCAATCTTCACGGAATGGAGCATAATGGATACGAACATCATTATCCATGGCTCCTGACGCTAAGACGTTGTCATCAGTGCCCGGAACGAAACATACGGCAAAGATATTAAGCCTGTGACCTGACTCGATCACCTGCTGTTGCTTATGTTGGTTATATCTCCATATAATTACCTTATGATCGTCTGATCCAGATGCTAATAATTGACCACTTTCGTTCCATTGAAGTGTATTTACGCATCCTTCGTGCCCATCAAGCACAGCCTCGCACTGAAGGCGGCGAACGAGACTGCCATGACCTTGACAGGCAGAATTAATAACACTAGAGTTTCCTCGCACTTCGCGTTCAAGCAAAAGCCGTGACAGACCCACAGGCACATGACTATACTTCCAGAACTGATCGGAGCGCGCGACTTTCATTGCAACAGCTTCAAGTAGAATGCTGTTTTGGGTAATTAGTAGCGTTTTACTGACATTTGTGAGGTTTTCTTCAATGTAATAATCATGCTTGAAAGGGTCGTAAGTTGGTGATAAATATTCGAATAAATACCCAAGTAAATTTGCAACTCGAAATGTCTTCAAACATTTACTTGTAACAATTCAGGATGCCTCCTGTCCGCTTACACGGTGTACGCTCGTCATGGAAGCGGCATTTACCGATCCTTGCTAAACTTCTCATTGGTCTTCCCGTCCTTTCCTACTTTTTCTGGAACGTGACGAGCATCACGTTTATGATTCAATCAAGAATGTCATCACTGCGTCATGAGGCTACACGTGGCGACAGCGACGAAGTGCTTGACAATCATTCAAATGATGCGTCCAATGACACCGATGGTACCAGATGGCTGCATCCGAGTGCATACGAGAGAGACGTACGGCGATCATTTTGATACAATATGATATGACTCAGTTATCACCTCATCTACTCTTTGACACAGGACGGTTGTGATTTTTCAGCAGCGGTGGCACGATTTAAGCCGGAAGAGCTGGAGCTCAATTGCACTAATATCAATCAGCTAGAAGAAGGTGAATTTTTGGGCAAAGGCTTTTGGCGGGAGGTGTTTAAATCGAAGTGGAACGGTGATGTGATACTATCTACCTCATGTTCTGATTAGTGCATAAATTCTCATTGATTTTGCTGTAGGACGAGACGTGGCTGTAAAACGTGTCAAGAAGCATTTGCTTAATCGTGCGGATATCATTCCTCGCCATATTGAGGAGTGTGCGTCCATTTTTTCGATACGCAATGAGCCGAATATTGTGGGGCTCGTCGGGTGGTGCAAGACAACTGTCGTAGTTGAGTATATCCCTTACCAGCTGGACACGCTATTGTTCGAGTCAGAGGAACCAGTTTCTGTTCATCGGGCTCTTGAACTTGCAAGGGATGCTGCCCGAGGTGTCGCTCAACTACATAATGCACCGGGTGGCCCTTTCGTGCATACAGACCTACAAGCGCGTCAATTTTTGATAGATGCCAACGGTACATTGCGACTAAATGACTTTAACCGTGTTAAGTATTCTGGACCACGTCTGGTAAATGGCACTCCAACAAACGAAAACTGCACATTTCGTACATCAGTCGCCAAAGGCAAGTGGCGATCTCCCGAGGAGTACAGTCGTCGCAAACTTGATGAAAAGTTAGATATCTACAGCTTATCAATAGTGCTGTGGACACTGCGCGCGCGTGAGAAGCCATTTGTTTATTGGGAGCGAGAAACTGTTTATGAGAAAGTACCGTATGGTGCACGACCACCAGTGGAAGCGATGAGTGACTATCCGCTGGAAATGCAAGAATTGATCGTCAGGGGTTGGGACAATGATCCTAAAAATCGGCCAACTGCTAGTGAAATGGCTGAAGAGATTGATCGCATTTTAAAAAGGTTTGAAAACAACCAATAGAGTTAAGGTAGGATCTCCAAAAAGCTGTTGCTGTAGATATGGATTGGATACATGTTGGTTTATATCATAAGAGTTAGAGAAATTCCAGTGGCTTCTTGTATAAAAGTGTTTATGTATCTCAATGCAAGTTACCCTTGCATATAGTAGTAGCTAATCAAACTGTCGATCTACCATCCGACGAGCTCCAATTGCTCGACAGGTTGTCAAAGTTGATACGAATTCCTCTCCTATTTCGTGCTTACCCTTTGCTGAAATTTTCAGTTATCCGAGCTACAAGATTTTGCGATAAATTTAGCTTCATACCCACTACAAATGAGTATATAATGAAGCAGAGATCCGAGCAGGCTTAGAGTTTACGATAATCAGATAGTCAGATAATCTGATTATCAGATATGTTTAGTCTTTGTTAGTCTGACTACAATTAAAACATATGTCACTCTTGGAATGGCAAAGTGATCGCCATCCTTGCGTTTAGCGTAGATGTGCTTATTTCCAAATCAAGTATCTTCGCTAACCCCAGGCTTTACTGAAGGAGCCTTGGGCTTGCGCCGATGTATAGGTACAGAGTTATGCAACCAATGCGATGGTCACAAATAGCCTTGACTTTTTATTTTAAGTTAGCAAGAGGTACTAAGCATGATACTTCATAATAGTGTCATGTCGATACTTTGGAGCATGGCTCTGAGTCCAAGGGACTTATGTGGAACGGGTATATGGTCCACGAACACCAAAACACAAAACATGCACGAAATACAACTCTTAAGCCAAACCAGCGGTGACATGTACTGAAGCTGCGCTGGATGATGCAAACACGTGGCGGAGGATGATGTGGCGGAGGATGCGGAGGATGATGCGATGGTGGAGTAGGTGGAGGATGACGCTGACACCATGATTGGGGTAGATCATACCGACACCATAATGGAGAACCGTGCCACTGTCTGGGTTACCTGGAAATCACGTACAAGACAAATTCAATGATATGTATTCACTGCCTCCATCAATACTCAATACGTGTAAACGGCATAAGCACTGACGCTCGAAGTTAGATAGAAACGAAACGCCCCTTGGTATTGTTGGCCCAACGAGACCCGCAGAATCACTTTCACAGCTACGCCAGTCGGCGCGATTCTTTCCTATCTGTTAATTATTCGAGTCCTTGCCTTGAGCTCTTTACAGTTTGCTCTTACTTGGCTTGTCAAAGCTATTCCCAAGGTTTAGTCCCTGGCTTCTGTGATCCTGACTGCACACCCCATCCACCACCTCCAGTTTCAACCAATTCTGACAAAATTACGTTCTAACAAAAAACTTTACTCCCTACTACATCACATTCCATCCGACTTTGTAAGATCTTGCTGCTAGCCGTCAGCCTGCATGTTTTAAAATTCTTCCTCGACAACAATAGGAGCCAGTTTGGTCACCTGAAGGAACGTAGTCAAAAGATATTTTATAACATCATCGTGTCACGCCAATATAAAAACGATGATGGTCGAAATTTTTATGGTATATTGACTCTTAGAGTTTTAAATATATTTTGCTCATATCTGTTTTTCACCTACAAATTTGGGTACCAATTCTATGCATTTACAAAGACTTGAGCTGCCTTGCGAACGACGACTCAATTGTCATGATGACCAATAATAGTTCTGCTGATCCTGCATCGTCGTTCATTGCACCATACTAAACAACAATTTGCCTGTTCTAATATGCCGGCGATGTCATTGCTGTCATTGCAGAATTTATTGATTTGGCATTGAGCCTACATACCTACAGACTGGAGATATCGTATGGCGACCATTGTCGAAATAATCTTAATGGCATGGCCCAAATTACTTGAGTATAGTAGCGCGTCATATATCCAGTGCAAATCCATAAGGCTGTAACTGTATCAGTGACGCACCAAATCCGTTGTAAGATTTCGTAAACAAAATCGGCGATTTGAAATAAAGCGGATAAATGAAAATACGGTCTCAGTCGACCAAATGAAAAATTGCGGGTGCGAGATTATGGAAGCGTCTACAGGAGCGCAGTGACTGTCTTTGCAGATCGAATCTTATACCAGAATCGTTTAATTGTGACCAATTCTACGCCTCTTCGATATAAAGTTGTAGAGGGAAAATCGGCCTCATGAGGATCTTTTATTATAGAGTTTTGTCATAACGAAATTCGTATTCAGTCAAAGAATGGATTCCTCGCCGACGCAGAACGAGCCTACAGGCCAAGAGAATCTTGACAGTCAGGCTGAGACGTGGTCCTCTACCACTAGCCTTAGTGTTCAGTTGGGAGCCATCGAAAATGACATGTGCGACTCGATGCAAAAGCGACTCGAGACACCGGCGCAGCATCAGCATGCAAATGCAGCGCTGCATCTTTCCTCGTAGGTACTTGGTGCATGTATGAAGAGGGGTTGCATATATTGACAGGTGATCTTCTCATTGATCAACAGCGACTTGAAGACTTTTATCAACACTTGTATCGCTTTTCTTGGCTCAGGAGTTTTGGGGCTACCCTATGCATTTCGCAAGTGCGGTATTTTGGTGCGATTCGGCAATTATCATTGGCGTTGTCTAGCAACAGCATCGTTATTAACACGAATATGTATCGCTAATGTACTAGCTGGGCTTGGTGACTCTAGTTGGAGTAGCTGCATTGAGCACATACGCTATGATGCTCGTGGTTCAATGCAAGTACAAACTCAAGCAGCAGGGCAACATGGTGTCCAAGTACGGCGACATCGGATACTTTGCCATTGGTCACATTGGCGCTATTATTGTCAATACGGCTCTCGTGATCTCGCAGACAGGTTTCTGTACCGCTTGTACGAAATCCAAAGAAATTAAATCCTAATGACAACTGTTGATATCTAATAATATTGCTGTCTTTTGCTCAGATTTGATTTTCATCGCGTTCAACGCAAACAAGTTCCTGAATGTGTCAAAATACTTGATCATTGTAGTGTGTGTCCCACCCCTTGTTATATTTTCGCTGTTAAGGCACATGAGAGAATTGGCTTATGTGGCGCTGCTTGCCGATTTTATGTGTATTCTTGGTCTTCTGGTGGTGCTTACAATTGATTTGAGCTATATGAATCTGAATCAAGACTACGTAGAGCCAATAGGCGTACTATCTGCTGTTCCTTTCTTTTTCGGCGTGGCGAGTTACTGCTTTGAAGGCGTTGGAATGGTGCTACCACTGGAAAACTCGATGCGATACAAAGAGAATTTTCAGCCCATTTTGGTGTGTACTATTGTAATAATTACATCGCTGTACGCTACATTTGGTGTATGCGGTTACCTTGCGTTCGGCGACGAAACGGATGCAGTAATTACGCTCAATGTTGAAGGGAGTGGTGGCTTGGTCACACTTGTCAAGATGTTTCTATGCTTAGGGCTCTTTTTCACTTATCCCGTGATGTTATTCCCAGTCTTTGAGGTGCTGCAGCCATTACTATTAGGTGGTAACAAATTTGAAGATGCACAAAGTATGCACAAAAAGAGCATTATTTTACGGGCTGGGATTGTGCTAATTACTGCAGTGATCGCTGCCGCAATACCAGGTCCGTCAGTATCAATGAAGTTGTGATCGTTTTTAAAAAATTGCTTACTCGTATACTTGGCAGATTTCGGACGTTTTATCTCCTTTATCGGCTCTACGTGCTGCTCGTTACTGGCGTTTATTCTGCCTGCATTCTTTCATTTGCGGCTTTTCCGTGATGAACCACGTACTTATTGGACATGGCTACATCGTTTTTTTCTGTGTGCAGTTATGCTTCTCGGTTTCATAATGCTGGGAGTGGGTGTTGCTGAATTCATCGATAGCGTATATTAATTATCATATTGCTTACATAAACCCCACCGTGACAAAAATTACCACTCATTACAAGCATTCATCGTTAATGATGGGATAACTCTGGATTGTTTCTAAAATTCACCGCACAGCATCTTATCCAACATCTCCCTCTAGTAACCCATTATGAGTTAATGTATCAAAATACAAGAATCGAAACATGCTTACCGATCATCAGCGATTGCAGTCATAAGAGCGACAAAATCTCATGTTGCCTTCGATTTTGCTTCCTCAATAAGAATTTCCTTAAGCAATTGAAATTTGGCGTGCTTTTGTTCGGTCAGCGCCTTAAGCTTCGTTTCAAGTTCTTGCACTTGTCTCTTTGCAATTGTCACAGCATCTTCTTGATCTTCTGTAGTGTCTGTAGTGTTGGTCTCAACCTGCTGCTGATCCTCAATTTTGATATCTTTTACATTGTTTTCGGTCGTGGAATCATGAGTGTGTCTTTGATGACGCATGCTGATCATTTTGCGCCAATTTTTTTGCATACAGCGACGGCGAATTGCTCTATTCCATAAAATTCACAGTTACTAGTGCCCTACATTCATCTCTATCAATTTTGGACGTGATGCACCTTCGAATAGCTTCACTTCTTGCATTGCGCAAACGCAAAGGCATTGCAAGACGAAACGTATGTGGAAGAATCGCTTCCAAGTCTCTCGGACCTGAGTAAGGTGCATTCGGGTTGCGGGCATACGGTCGGCCGCTCATCTCAAAAGTATTATACTTTTCGTATTCAGATTATCAGTTTCATCCAATCCACACGCGCCAACAATGATTTCATTTCAGTGACTGCCCCGGCCAGAACACGATAGAGAAAGCAAGCGACAAATCAACGCACACAGTCGAAACCGCCGGCTCCCGCGATTAGCTCATTATTTTTTACTCAATTATTCCTGGTCTACTCGTTTCCGTCGCTTTCGTTACTTTGTCATGAAGATCGTTGCCATAGGTTTGCTTCAATAGTATTGCTATAGACTTTGTTTCAATAATAGTCTGACAAGTTTGATTGTACGTGTTGACAGAGCTGCTTCGTCAGGAGGAGCAGGGTCAGGACCCGATGATTCTCTCAGCAAGTTTTGAAGTATCGTCTTTTGGCTACTTTCAGCGCCCAGGGTTTGTGATGCTGATTAGTAAAGAAAGAGGTCGAGCTAATGAAGATTAATGTCATAAATTTCTGCATCACAGCGTTCGGGAAATGATCAATTTTTTCAGTCGTACGTTTATTAAACGTACGGAGCCTGGGCAGCGCCAATCAGTACAACACGAGGAATATAATTGCCATGTGTACGTGCGTCGCGACAAGTTGGCTGGAATAGTGGTGTGTGACCAGGAATATCCCCCACGTGTCGCGTTTGCACTTCTAAATAAGCTTATGGATGAGCTCGACAAGTCCACAAGGTAACTTGAAATGGCTACTTTGATAAATCCTTGAGATAATAGCGTGTTTGCTTTCAAAGTGGCAGTTGGAAGACGCAGACTGGTAAACCGAAGGATTTTGCACCATTGACAACGGCTCTGGCCGAGTATCAGGATCCGTCCAAAGCTGACAAGATATCAGCTATTCAGAAAGAACTCGACGAGACTACAGCTGTGCTGTCCAAGACAATTGACAATGTGCTGGAGCGTGGTGAGAAGCTGGACGACCTTGTGTCTAAGTCACAAGATCTCAGCAGTCAATCTAAGGTTTTTTACAAACAGGCCAAAAAGACCAACTCGTGTTGTGTCGTCATGTAAGAACCAGTACTTTATGCATGCCACCATCGAGCGGATTTCTTCATAGCTACATTTTTCTCGCTTCATATTTTTGTGGTAAATTTTTAACCCAAATACCGTTTTGTCACTTTAAAAGTGTGAATTGATAATAAAAAATTCTGCCAATTGTAAAGGTGGTCCCATACATGGATGGATTTTTGGTTGCCTGTCTTTCACCTCAGATCTCTCTATATTATTTTAAGTTTAATTGACTATTGTTGCTAGTTGTGAAGCTTTTACGGGTTCTGGTAACTTTCTGCTTAGGTAATGTGATTGCCAATCCAGGGATGACTTCTTGACGTGCGACCCTTATCTTGCTGTGCACCTCTGTCTCTTCGCGTCTATTTGCCACATCTTTCACGATCAGGCTTTGTCGTTAAGAAGAGGTAGATAGATTAAGGATTTTCCGAGCTGATTCAAATAAAAATTAACAGATATGAGGAGGTTGCAATTTAATTTCGTACCCAAAATGATCACACGCACAGTCAACCAAGTGCGACTTCGAACTTCACATTGTCATCTCTCTCACACAATCAAAGTAAGTGAATTGTGTCTATTCTTGTTGAATTGTCAAGCCAAGAAGAAGCAAGCCTGCACTATCGTGTGACCAAAAGCTTGAGATATTTGAACACCCTGTTCTTTTATCCACTTCTATCACAATTCTGTAAACTCTTCGCTATCGTTTGCCACAATATATACTTTATCTTGCGCCGCACAAACGCTCGCATTGAAGGCTTTCGCTTTTATTGCCTCTCTCGCTCTTCATATATCCAGTAGCTGGAAGCAGAGATAGGCACATTGGTTGAAATAAAGTCATGCAAAACATAAGGCACATTACTGAAATTATATAAAAATAAACTTTACAAAAGTTAGCATACCAGGACACGCATCAAATTTGGGCTTCAGCGACACATAAAATCAAACTCTTTGGCTTATTTAGTACTTGCGAAAAATCCCTTTGAGCGGGTCGGTAGAAATCTTTGCCCACATTTGCTGCAGCGGGTTGCTATGTATGTTGCATAGAGCAAGCCTTGATCCAAAGAAATACATGATGAGACACATCCTCGAGTGCTTCAACAAAGCGACGGTGTGAGAATGGATGGTACCCACAGTGAGGTCGCTGATGTTGAGTATCCAGGCGTTTGAGGACGGGGCGGGAAAAATGTATACTCTGGACTAGGTGAATTGAGATAACCATGAAATCAACCATGACTATACGGAGCAACAGCGCGTAACGCTTGCGATCTCCAAGCTAGGAGGCCACGCACACGAATGGGCACAAATGTGCACTCCCTCGGTAAGAGAAACGTGTCCGCCGTGGAAGGATTTACTGTGATATATGCTGCGGATGTACGCACCAGCTAGACATGCATGTCGTGCGCACTCAAAGTTCTTGTCCGCACATCAAGGAAGGCAGGAAATCGCGGTCTATAACGAGCATGCTTTACACTCTTACCGCCATCGCGCAAGCCCTCTCTGAATGCGGTAGCGATTCCTATTTTCGTGAAAGACCTCCAAGCAGGTGCGGCTCGGATCGAGATTTTCGCGTCCATCTTACCTATCTCTATGAAGCGATGGTGACATATTGAGCGTGGAGTACAAGCTTCGTATGATGTACTGGAAGTAACGCTTTATGATCTCGTTGATGGCGACGGACCTCAACCATACTGAGTCCAGATAGAGATCTCTCAGCTGCTGAGCAGCTCCGCGGTCCTTACATGTATTTGATCTGTGGAATTGAAACACCTTCGCCTTGCGTGAGTCTTAGCTCTTCTAAGGGTTACCTTCAAGTAAAGGTTGAGAACTTTGCCAGCGTGTAGTGTTGTCTCGCTTTGAACCTTAATCTCGAATACAATCTCATTTAAGATACGGCGTGGCTGAAACTTCACCAGCCATGGGGTCGACGGGCATCTGAAAACGATAGGTGTTACGCCCTTCTGTATGGTGGCGCATAAACAAGTCATGAGTTCACTTGTTCTAGTTTTGGCCCGGGCGCGAAGCTGTGATAGCTTCCGTGGTGGACATGGTTTTGACAATATTTATAGCAGCAATATTGCTGGGCGTCTCGGGCAGAGCTCGGAAGGTTGAAGCGACGGCGAGTTGTGGTCTCTAGGTAAGATAACTGGGGCGATTGTATATCGCGGTCTCCGTAGTGTATCTTTGGAAAGACGGATTAGAGCGACTATGTGTCGTGATCCTCAACATGATCGTTGAAGGGTGGTCTGAGATGTTGTCTTACTTTGTTAGGGTCAGTGAGGAGCGGAAGCGATTGGACTGTACAATCATCAATGTAGTTGTTGAGCCGCTGTAAGTCGCGAGTAGAAGGTTCAGTTTTAAGCTGCAAAGGATGACTCACCTTATCACGATGTGACGTCACCGCTGAGTCAGCACTATTGTGTGGTGAGCCCATCGTGTGCAGCCCATAACACAGTAGTAAAGGTTTATGGCTTTGCGGTGAAAAGATGTTTCACTCTTAATTAAGTGACCGGGGTATCCTAGGGGGTTGTAAGTCTTTTCTCTTTATCACTGGTAGAAGCTCGTATAAAGGTGAAGAAATTTCCCCCTCGAGGATATGTGCAAAAAAGTGTAAGACCATGAAGTCACCATAATTTTCCAATCGGCTCAAAAGAGCTGAAAATTTATCATTCTTTATGAATTAATTATATCATTGGGAATTTGCACAGTTCTGAGTACGAGTAGCGGGACAGGTAGCTTGAAGGATCTTATACAAAATTTTCATTTGATGTCAAAAGAGTTTTTCGACGTGATGCGAAGAGACCACAACGCGTGTAATCCCAGCTTTGGAAATTCCTACCTGGAATTGACTCGCTTCCCGGGAGCAAATATTCCGCCACAAAGAATTTTGTAAGGGCTACTTCCAAAAAAGTTGTGGGACATCATTGACGCTTCCTTTCGTGAAACGCACAAAGTGGACTCGATGGATATGAAAAAAATTTCCTACTCGGTGCAAACATCCTGCGTCAGAAAGGCTAACAACAAGTGATGAATTGTGCGTGCTTAAGATAAGCTAAACGCAGACTCGATTTCGGTGCAAGTGTTTATTCGTAGAAAAGAATTAGCACGGTTAATTGCACTTTGTCCGCTCTCATTGACCTAGTTCATGCTTATTATCATCTGCTAGTGAAAGGCAGCGATATCCTTATTACTGCGGTAATCGCTCTGACCAGAATGTTGAGCGAGTGGCTTGCCATGCCACAGGAACTGTCTTATTTTTGAGCGACACTTAATCCTTTGCTGACACAGTTACAAAGGCCACATCATGGCTACGCAAGTCATAATTTCGGCGATACAATTAAAGTTTGTCGTGCAAAACCACATTAAACACTTGCGTGCAATACTCGATTATATGTACTTAAATATGCTTTTTGCCGATATAAAGAAGTGCGCCAATCAAATCCACCTTCTTCCATAAGATACTGGGAAATATGGTCCGCGGCAGATCCCGCATAGACAAAGGCTAGTGGAGATCGGCCAGTGCTTCAGTCTCGAAAGAGCTTCAATTACGCGGCCTGGACCGGTCCACCCTTGCATATACAGCGCAAAGTATGATTTCATAAAATGACCCCCCTTCAGACTTCTTAAAAATGATTTTAAGCGGTGAAGAGTGTCACAGAAGGGTTGACCTACGATGCTGTGAAATTAACTGCATATGTATCCCCAATTCTGTCTCTTCCAGGTTGATCATACCTTGTCTTCACTCTCTGGCGCTTTAGACATTGCAGTAAGCTGTGCTTGACCCCAGGTCGGTGCTGATAAGCATGATCGCGTGAGCGCATTTGAGTCTTGCTATCACAAAGCGGTGAATAAGAGATACTTCATCACCAACAGATTCTTTTCATGGCAAGGACATCAACGTGATGAAGTATCTTTCACAAAGAATGGCAAGATGGTTATCCTTCTTAGTCGAAAATTCTCTTGAAAGTTCAAGTATAAGCTGTGTCGGTATAATGTGGTAGCGGAAATGCTTTTGCTGCTGCCCTGGCTACAACTGTCGCTTCTCATATTGAGGACGTTGCCAATTGATTACGCGATACGTACAATGAAAAGGCCAGGCGCAATATGTGTTTCGTTGGCCTAGACGTGGGGGACCATGGATTGAGAACTCAGGTATCGAGAACTCAGGTATCGCTCAACCAAATCTCGCAGGTGCACCTGTACCCACATGCCTTATACTAGCGCCCGCTGTATTCCCGCAATGACCCACATGACACTCAGTGTGTAGTTAAGCTTGAACGATGAAGACCTCAATGCTATGACTCGTGAGATTATATAAGAAACTGCCACTTGGTGTGATTACCTCACTATTCGCGGCACATGATTCACCTTTAAGTGGCCATCTCGGAAGAGAGTAGACGTCCCGCTCTGTGAGGTAAGCACATATGCGTGTGCGTGTGAAAAGTGTCAGCGGCTAGACTCTCGTCGCATGCGTAGGCGCCTATGTCCTACCTGCCGGTTTTGTTAGAGTGCGAGAAGATCATCATTATAGTCCTTGTTTCCAGTCTTCCAAAGTACTCATTTGGCAATATCGGCATATCAGTCTTTGTGGCTTATCTAATTGTTATCAACCATAATGTAAACGAAGAGGGCCATCCAAGCTGATCCTCGACAAGTGTTTTGCATACATGGCTTGATGGTAGCCATTCTATCGAACATGCATCTGCGCTTTACCGCGGATTTGTCCTGTCGCTCATCCGTAGTGTCGTGCACGTTGCGAACGTTGCTATTTTTGATACAAACTGTCGCTGAGCTAATATCAGCATGTTCATTTTAGTAGCCAACCACTCTCCCGTCAAGACCGGTGGTGTCATAAAATCCAAGAATTAGCAAACATTAATGCAAAATGGGATTGGACCTGGAGAGACATATTCTGCATTCTTAAATACAAACTCAATGAGCAGCTCTAACACATGTGTTCTATCCGCGCAAGTGACCTGAAAGATATTCTCCACAGTGCAATTAATGCATTCCATCTCATGATCAGTTTGCTGATGGTCACAGATTCACGTCCTGTCTATTGCCGAACACCTATAACATCGTTTGCTACACAGAAGCAACACGTAGATGCCAGCGGCAGGCGTAACACATGATTATGTTATGAGGCAAAGTGGTATATCAATTTAATAGAACTACCGACACAGGCAATGTCTACGGTATACATGCAATCGCGCTGCATTGGATCGTATTCGTAGCAAAGAAAGAATTGAGTTATACACTTGATATCATTTCGAGAATCTGACCACATCCTGTGTTCTATGCAGGCTTAAGAAATCCTGTTGTTACGAATCAGTCGAACGCTGAGAGATATATTGCAGACGAAACAACATCTCGACCACCCTCTGTAGCAAAGCAACTCTCTGCTCCATAGTCTCGACCGCCCTTTGTAGCTAAACGACTCTACTCCACAGGTTCTGAACTGTTGGTGTGTCGTAGCTTGGTAGTGCGATGTCGAAGCCACGAATATAAATTCGAGATCTGGTTTTTCTCAATTCTGGGCTCACGCCAAGACTAACGGAAGAAACCAAAGCTTCTTTCCATATGAACATGCGAACTTGGCGTAGGAGTAGTGACCTCTGTCGGTCATGCTCGAAAGGATGACCCCTTTAGATCGAGCGTTTGATGGCCCAGCGGGTACACCGGGGCTGTTGCCAGTATCTGACGCAGTAGAGGAAATATCCTTCATTGTTAGACTGATGGGATTTAAGATTTAACCTCGGCAAATTTGCGCGATTTCTATGGTTGCCCACGGCCTAGCATACCCACGGCCATTACCAACTTGGTAAAACGGCAGGATTTCCCGTCATAGCGCGCTGTCTATCTGTAACTAGAGGCCAAGTTTGTGAGAGGGTGCCCCTGGCAGGTAGCTATTATGCCCGTCCTCTCAAGACAAGCAGAGCTGTTAACAGCAGTAACCAGAAGTAATTGTTTTTTACCTTGACGTTTGTTTCGTGATTTGTACTTCGCAAGGTCAATCATGACACGAAGTTCTAGTTGATTGCCCTCTTTGAGTGAATCTGACATGTTAAGCCTTCAGGCGGATGATGTGATCTGATTTTCTAGCTTAGTAGGCAAACACAGCTTCAAGCGGCCGGTACCCAAAGCGAATTAGTCCAGCCTCTGCTGCCTTAGACACAGGCGGTAATTTCGAGATGTTAAAACCTAAAATTGACTTTGCGCTGGCAGATTGACTTTTTGGCACCTGTTTTTTTCTCTGTGAGCTTAAAAAATCCCGCACGCGTAGACACGTAAGCGCTCCACACCAGCGCGGAAATAATTTCAGCAGATTCTAACCGTATTGTCGACGGGATAATTTGGACAAGAGTCGGTGCGCTTCTTGCCTCCAGTAGAGCAAGCTATTTAACGGAATTGCACGTACCCTAGTATGAAAGGGTTGGTCACTTAAGATGGTGTCACCGTACAAAGTTGTGAATTAAACAAGTTGGTGTAAATACACAATGGTGTGGCTACACAGGTACTAGAAGCCACAACGTGGTGGGACTGCCCGTAATTGTGCACATTAATTAGATCTTGCTACCTAAGGTTTAAGATATAGACGGCTTTGCCGCAAAAATAAAACAGATAAATACAGCTTTAATTTTGAACGGAAGGGTACATTTGCCTTATATCAAGGTTTTGGGTACTCTTGGAGGTGGCGGATTGCGATCCCCTACACTTGTATTGGTCCTAGTGTAGAACTAAAGGTCGGTGACGTTAAGTAAGCCTTTTCCAAGCAAAGAGCTAAGGCAGCCCCGCTGCTTGCTGGGTCGAGCTTGCCAGCCTTCACAATAAAAATCGACGAATTTAAGCTGCGCCAGTAGCTCAAAGTCAACGTGCACCGTGTGATTTGCAGAGAAACGCGTGATATATCCCTTACGAGAACGCAGCTGATTATGTAGCAGCTCGATCTTCAACACATACGACAACTTCGATACAATACTTCACATCACAGGGTGCAATGCCGTATGGATGCTTCCTTCACAAGAAAAACTGCAAGTGCTGTAATCTTCTGTAATTTACACAACTAGTGCAATTGTACTGTACCAAATTTAAGTTACACCTTGTATTTTTGCAAAGATCGAATTGAGCCAGAAATATTTTGAAGATCATGGAAGCAAGAGAGATAGTATAAATAGCAAAACGAACATGTTTAGAATCTGTATAATTAGCATTAATCCTGAAGACATGTATAGCGGATCAACTATTAATTTTAACTATCTACGAGGCGTTTGGTTCCGTTCCTTCTAAGAGCGCATGAATTTTATATGTGTGCGTTTATTTACGCGGGCTACGAATAACAAAGCTCCCGCTGCGCAAAGTGCTCGGTGACCTGTTGCACTTCGCTTAAGGAATTTTATCTCAGTTGGTATAGTCGTGATCAAAACCATGCTTGCAAGCAGTCGGAACATGTACACCTAATTCAAGTGGTCAAACGCGTTTGGTGCTCGATTTACCTTCTGTATACTTCATTGCTATAACCCATGACGAAATCTTGCATTGAAAACGATAAGCGCACATCAGATTCGTAAGTCCTTGAAATTTGGCTTTGTCAATTTCCATTGGCTGTAATTTATATATATATATAAGTCAGTATTTTTAGTACGCTTCTTTTCCAGCCAATCCACATGAAATGCTTGACGTGAGGTAGTCAAAATAAATAGACTGAATTCTTCCGCGCATGATCTCAAACTCGACGCGAGAAAAGGCCAAGGCCACGAAAGCCTATTTGGAGCAAAAGTACGCGGCTATGAAACGTGAACGCGAGGAAAGTCGTGAGCGGCGCAACACTTTGGAACAGCAGATGGAAGCGTTGCGTCTTACTGAACGCAAAAAGGAGCAGTATCGCCAAGAGCTCCGATCTAAGGAGCTGCAGAGTTTGCGCCACCAGCGAAAGCGTTTAGCAGTCGGAGATTTTCAACCTCTTGCTGTGATTGGACGTGGTGCATTTGGAGAGGTCCGTCTAGTTCGCAAGAGAGACACTGGCGAGATCTTCGCGCTCAAGTCGCTTGAAAAGAGCGCAATGGTGCTGAAGAATCAAGTCGGTCATGTCAGGGCCGAGCGTGATATTTTGGCCAGTGCGGATCAAGACAATAAGTGGCTAGTCACCTTACACTATTCATTTCAAGATGACCACCGACTTTACATGGTGATGGAGTATTTACCTGGTGGAGACCTGATGGGTTTATTGATGAAGGAAGATACGCTGGATGAAGTTACTACGCGATTTTATGCCGCGGAGATGGTACTAGCCATCCAGTCTGTGCATGATCTGGGCTATATTCATCGCGATATGAAACCGGATAACGTTTTATTGGACGCTTATGGACATTTGAAGCTCACTGACTTGGGATTGTGCAAGAAGATGGACTCGCGTGTCGATCTGTTACCTGTCTCTCAACATGCGATGAATTCCGAGCAATTGGCAGGAGCTGGTGGCAATAGTGTGGATGCCACCCGAAGTAAACCTTTTTCTCGCAATAGACAAGTGGCTTTTAGTACTGTGGGTACTCCCGATTACATTGCCCCCGAAGTGCTGGCTCAAAGAGGATACGGTAAGGAGTGTGATTGGTGGTCCATGGGTGTCATACTGTACGAATGTCTGGTAGGGTACCCTCCATTTTACGCAGACGAGCCTGTACAGACGTGTCGCAAGATTGTCAATTGGAAGCAATCATTTGGATTTCCTTCGGAAGCCGTTGCTCGACTCAGTCCGCAGTGCATAGATTTTGTTCGTCGGCTTATTTGCAATGCCGAAAACCGTCTAGGAACTGGCTCTGTGGAAGACATCATGCGGCATCCGTGGTTTAGTGGAGTTGATTGGTCCACACTTCGTTCCATTCAAGCGCCATATATTCCACCTGGAGGCGGTCCGCAATTTGATCGCGTTTTAAAGCAGCTGCAGACTAATAATCCGGAACAGGGCGGGACACAATATCAAGAGCTTATACGTCAGGTCACATCAAACTTTGACGAATTTTCTGAGCCATGCGAATTACCAACGTTAATGTCATATGAGGCATCGGCAACAGGACAAGTTCCCTCTCCGCCAATCAATGGCATGAATGGTAGTAGTGGATTGGCTCATGAAGCAGGCCAGATGAATGGAAATGAGCCGCTGCAGGCTCTAGGTCCGGATGGCAAACCTCTGACTTATAATAAGTTTATTGGCTATACTTACAAGCGTAAACCACCAGTTCGCATGGCATTGAACGATAGTATTTTTGACAACGGGGCCACTGGAACCTCTGAATTAACACCAGTCGATGCGTTCATTCTATCCAACAGCCACGAAGCCCATGCCCATGTGAATCTTGCCCCTGACTTTGCTTCCTCTACGACTAACTTAGAAGGCAGCGCGGCGTCACAACACATGGACGAAAACGAAGACAGTGATCGCAAGCATTAAATTGCTCACGAGATAAAGGTTGGCGTTGTATGTGCCGTAGATCAATTACTTTTAGTTATAATAAAATATATAAGATTTGACAATGTGGAGACGAAGCTGCCTATATTCTTAGATAAGACGTCATCAGATTCACAGTTCAACAAAAAGAGGTGTAAGATAAAAACTCAGAATTCGCCACATCCTGGTACTCTTCATGCAAAGACATACGAGCCTCTGCCAAAAAATTACGATGAAGTTTTAGGATCTGGTACACAATCTTTTCCAGGTCAATGCACCGCATCATATACCAAAATCATGTTTGATTGGTGAGCGACACTTTCAAATTTTCTCTCTTTTCACTTTTTCGTCCTTTCATCAATCAAGATGGAGATAGACCCTCGATCGACTCGAGCGCAATTCACGAACATGATGACGCCTGCTGAGGTGGCATCACTTCAAGCGACTAGGACGGAAATTTCGCCCTTGCCGGCAATTGCCTCGGAGATGGACACACCACGTGGACCGGAATACATCGCCGGCGACGGAGTTCCAACGGGGGCGTGGGCTGCTGGTCTTTTCGATTACTTTGACAACCTGGTACCAAATTGCTGTATGGTCACTTTTTGTCCTTGTGTAGCACTGGCCCAGCTAGCGACACGCTTGGGCGTCGCGCCATACAAAATGATGCTTAGCCTACTGGTGTTCGCATCATTAGTGCTTACTATGGGAATTCTCGTTTGGGCCATTGCAAAAGAAACTTACCACTCAGTCAATGAACTCAACAACGGAACGCATCAAAATCACGACGAAGTGGCTGATGGCACTTTCGTCATGATTATGCTCAGTCTTTACATGTTGCTGCTTGGCTTCATCTGTCATCTTCGTACCACGACGCGCAAGCGCTTTCATCTCCCCGGCAATGCACTGACGGACTGCCTCAGCTCATGGTGCTTTCCATGTTGTACCGTGGCACAACTTCGAACGCATGTTCGCAGCTATCAGCCGGGAAATTGCACGTTCGGACCACCTAGTGTGCTGCAAGCGTATCCGGAGAAGTCGTACGCGGTATAGACAACCCGTTAAGGATGTCTACACAGTACAGTATATCATATGTCAGCTGCACAAGATACATTTAAATTGAATAGCAGCAATTAAGGTCAATACAGCCAACTTATCACTAAGTTCGTGAAAGAGCGCCTATAACGTGTCACTAAACTTGTGACCGGGGTAAACCTCTATTTTCGTTTATCAACGTGATGCGACAATAATACTCTCAGGACTGTTCTTATCGCGGTAAATTTTACGCATTATCCATTTTTGGTCTGTGTTACCAAACTTTGGGACAAAGTTTGGTATCAAAAAATTCAATGAAATTTTATGAGTAGATAGATAGTCTTCTACGTCACAGACGGTATCCGCCCATCTGCTTAGTATATATCGCTACATCTCAGAAAATCACTATTGATCGGCTGGTCCGATTGAATTTTCCCCACTCATGGTTGTACGAGCTGGCATGCAATTTCAACAAATCATCAGCCAGATGTACCATGTTCTCCACAGTGTAATTGAAATTTATATGCTGCAGATAAACTGTGAAAAAAAATTTATGCGCGTCCCTCTGTGGAACAAAATTAATTACCCGCACTGGACTTCTTTGACGTACGCTTCATATCGTTACATAAAGATTTTGTGCAGCCAGGAGCGTCCATCACATTTACGCATAATCTGCTTGCTGTTCAAATGACAATCTTATGGGGCTTTTAACGACTTCAGCTTCAACAAGGTTGTAGTTCACGTTGCGCAGAGACAGCTTTGACTCAAAGTGTCCGCTACTGCAAGCGCACCGAGATTGGGATAGATGCCTCAAACAGAGAGGAATCAAGCGCCTCTGCCGCAACTATCTATCCACGTATCTCTGCTATTCAAGAGTACGAATGTAAAGGTTTAATTTCATTAGACTGATACTTTACTTGTGACGGGGTTACACGTACCCTAGTATGAAAGGGTCAGTCGCACAACCATACAAAGGTGCGGGTTACACAGGACGGTGTAATCACACAATAGTTTGGCTGCACCTTAACAAGAAGTCAGTGAGTGGCTGGATTATGCATTTTAATTAGGTTTACTATTTGATAAGAAAAACCTATATACTAAGATATAACCGGCTTTGCCGCAAATAAACCAAAAAATGCAGTTTACACTTTGAACGGATGAGTTTATTTGCCTTGGATTAAGGTTGTGGTGAATCTTGGAGTAAGCGAATTGCGATCCGCTACACTTGTACGAGTTCTAAGTATAGAACGAAGGTCACCGACCTTAGCTTAGCTTCCTCCAAGCGAAAGAGCTCCGGTAGTCCCGCTGCACTTGGAAGGTCTTGAAGTCAGTCTATACCTGAGTCGTTACGGCTGACCCTCTGAGTGGATGTAGCAGCTCTCCTATTTGCTATAGGGGATGCAGGATGGGCTTGAAAGCGTACGTATCTGCATGGGCGTACAACACCTCGCTTCGCAAGGGCCTGAAGGCGCGCCTACTAGGTGTCGTCGTTTTCCCGCGACAAACCAGAAGACTGGTAAAAGGAAAGAAGTCGATTCGATTAACCCTGGCGCGCCTTGCGCAGGGGACAATAATCCGAAGGTGACGAGTGTCTCCACAGACAAAAGACCGTCGGGTTTTCGAACGTTGCTCGGCAGCTCGGAGCTCTGTCTTCACTTTCTCAGTATAGCTGAGACCATCGGCTCATGCCCACTCGACGAGCTGCTAGGATGTGTATTCCAACCATGTCGTGCCGACTTAAAGTTAAATTCGGCATTCTATTCCTCTTCAAATCAAGTCGGACGCACACGGAAGACATCCATTCTAGCCAAGCTAGTGCGGAGGCTGTCCATAAAGCCAGTCACTGTTTCCGCCTCGGGGAGAGGATTGGCTGCCATTTCGGCAATGAGAATGCAACTTTTGGACAAAGTCAACCAACTCATTCTCGCCCTGTCGGGCGGCAAGGAAACGCGATCGCACGCGATATGCCTGGTTGGGCGGCTAGAACACTCGTAAGAGCTGCAGCTTTACCTTTGTTTAGAAAAAAATGCTGCTTCGACTGTCAGTGCCCATTCTCGCGCTCGGCCCCCGAGCTTGGAGATAGCTAGCGCAACGCGTTGTCGTTTTGTCTGGAGCGTCGCGGACGCCATGGCCATCTCGCAGAGCAGGACATTTTTTCCATCCTTGCCCTGGAAGGTCTTAACGCTCACCATGCGCGGGTTGGGTCAGGAGGAGTTATATGTCGTCTACAGTGACATCATGGACGCAGTCGATTCCTACATCTTCTGCTGTAGGTGTTCTAGCCGAGAATAGTCATAGCTTGGAAACGCCTTTAGACGCGCGCGGGACGCCGGGCTGGGGAAGAAATGGGCTCTGTTGAGCCTCAAGAGGTTGAGGTCACCACGGCCCGGCCCCGAATTCCGTGCTTTGAACGTGTATGCAAGCCGGGCTTGCTGGTCTTTAAAGCAACCGTGAAGGGCTCTGAGAAGCAATGGAAGATCCTTATCGACTTCAAGTCGTCGGAATATTATGCTCGACGCTTCTAAATAGAAGGAAGGAAGTCAGCTGTATGCTGAGGCGCCGAAAGCGCGGTTGCGTGATTTCGCCACTGTTTTTTGCAACGGGGTATATGTCACAGTGCCCGTCAAAGTCCCTGTGGACCTCGGTGTCAAGTTTCTTGACTTTGATAGCGTCGAACGCTGTTTAGTCTTATACTTGGGTTTAAGGTATGACCTCATTCTTGGTATCGCATGGTTGAACCACCATGAGCCATGGATCGATTGGAGGTCCAAGACCTTGGGCTACGCGCACGTCTTCTGGTGGATCCTTGGTGAGTCATGAACCACCCCTGCTAGAGGGCAAAAACGCTATTATCGAGGGCGCTGGACCGGGACGGTCAACTTGCTGGAGATCGGAGTATCGAGTTGTCGACGCCAAAGGTGTCTCGGCCAGGCTGATCGGGGAGTGGCAAGTAAGCTATTGAGCACTGATCAAGCATCAAAACAGTCGCTGCATCTTATGCGTGGCATGGTCGGACGAGATCCGAAGTATCTTGCTCAAGGCCCATCAGATGCGCTTGAAGTGGCACTTTTCCACTGGAAGAAGACTGCGGAGCTAGCAGCTCTTCGTCGGATGTTGTTAATGACATCAAGGCTTCGTTGGAGCAAAAAATGGGGATATTGGACGACGCTAATTGCGTGGTCACACTGGTCTCGCCGAGACGTAAAAACTCTGTAAAAGGCGACAGCAACGTTGTATGCAAGCTACAAGACGCCGGGCGTCCACTCTATCCCAGGATGTGTCTACCGTAGACAATAGCGCACAGCTATACACCCTCGTCAACGGTATGACAAAGTAGGACGACGACGACGTCATCCTCGAGGCTATCCCCGCGGTGGATACTCTTCTGGAGCTGGACGAGATGTACCTTGAAGCGTTCGGCGAGGCCTTGAAGGCAGTCGACATTGCCGAAGTAGTCATTATCAGGCCGGAAAAGGAGATCAACTCGTTGTCGCTTCTGAATGAAGCTATCCTGGAGGACATCAAGAGGGTGCTGAACGCACAAAGTGGTTTGTCGATTATAAAAATCCCTCATATCTATACGATCCTTTGGTAAAGGAGATTCAAGACATCGTCTTCAAAGACTTGCCGTCGGTCCTACCTCCGGACCGAGGTGTCGTCATGAGTTTGACCTGGTTCCGGGAGCCAATACTGCGTAACACGTCAATGATCCATGCCCGAGGAGCAGTATGACTTTATTAACACCTTCTTCCGTGTAAACCACAGCGCAGAAATGGTGCGTGAGAGTAAGTTTTCCTATTTGACACCCACGTTTTTAGTCAGTAAACGAACGGCAAGTGGCGTATCGCCCACGCTTACAAAAAGCTAAACGCTGCCATCATCCCGGCACAAACGCCAGTTCCCAGGAAGGCTGTTCTCCAGAACAACATGGTTGGATATTCAAAGTACAGTACGATTGACTTGGCTAATGGGTATTACCAATTATTCATGAGAGCGAGTGATGTTCCGCTGACAGCGTTGGGTACACCGAGCGGCATGCTCCGCGAGTGAATATTGATGCCCCAAGGGCTGTCAAATGCACCAGCAACATTAAATTGTCGTGTGACGCAGTTGTTCAGGTCCCACCGGGCGTATACACAGACATACTTTGACGACATCGTCGTCCACAGTTGTGCTGAGCACGAGAGAAATGATGAGAATAACCACATCGTCCATTTAAGAGCGGTGCTCGAGTGCATGCATACAAATAAGCTATATGATAATGCCGATATGTGCATCTTCGGTGCCGAAGAAATTCCCTTTCTAGGGTGCTTCATCGGGAAGAGTGGTCTTCGAGCGGATCCCGCTTAGGTCGAGGCCACTGTTGGCTGGCCGTTTCCAAAGTGTGTAGCGCTGCTACAGGATCTCGGGAGCAAGGGGTTTGAGAACTCGGGCAGGAAATCGCCGGCGCGTTTCCGCGCACGGTTACACCGATATTGTTGAGTAACGGTTGCTATATTATATCACTGATTCAACGAATATGCCACGAAATATGGTTTCTCATGATGAGATTTGAGATACCGTATCTTCTATTACCCCACTCAGTGGTCATTCTGGTTGTAAGAAGAGGTACAGCTCTGTGAATTCCACTACTGGTGACCCAAGCTGTACAAATGGACGAGCACATAGCGCACGTGAGAAACGTGTCAGGAGGTAAAATCCTCTCCAAATGCGGCGGCGACGCTGGCCAGTTTTCCGATACCTTTCGGATGTTGGCTCTCCATGAGTATAGCCTTTGTGTCTGGCCTGCCGAAGGACTCGGCAGGCAACACGGGTTTTGTGGTCTTGTTGGACCGTTTGAGCAATATGGTTTGTCTTGCGGCGGTGCTGGACACCATCGACGGTGTCTTTACAGCGACGCTGTTTGTGGATCGTGTCTTTCAACAGTATGGACTGCCAAAGTCAATTGTCTCTGACAGAGATCCACGCTTCATTGGTGGATTTCTTTGTCGAAGATTTTTAAGGTGCAGGTCCTAAAGCTGGATATATCAACAGCGGACCATCCGCAGACTGATAGTCAGACAAAGCGCGTTAATCGCGTCATTGAAGCCGTTCTTTGCAGCGACAGCGCCGAGACGCCGACGCGCTGGGGTACCAGGCTGCCACTTACTGAGTTTGCTCTGAAATATGTAGCGAATGCGTCTATCGGCTACACATCGTTCTCCGTAAACAAGCTCATCTATCCTCGCAGTCTCGCTGATGTCGCCATCCCATGGTTCGGGGCTTGGTGGGGGGAATAGCCGAAGGCTAGCTAATCTCAGCCCTCTCACTGTGCGCGAAGAAGTCGATAGCTTTCTGTCTACCAGAATAAGTGTCTGACAACACGTTCGCGATGCGATGGCTGAACGCCAAGACATGCAGAAAGAATATGCAGACGGAAGAAGCAGAAGAAACGTTGAAAGCTTTGAGGCCGGAAGCCTGGTTTTATTCAATTCTTAAAACCTTCCTGCCCATGCAATTTCCGTTGTCTTTAAGACGGAGCTCCGTCCACGGTCTATCGGACCTTTCAAAGTTGTGGTTAAGTGGGGCCTTGCGTAACGCGAAACCTTCCGAAACGGATGTGCACCTAGCCGGCGTATTATGTGGGTTTGTTCAAGCCGTACAGGAAGGCACAAGTAAACGCGAAAGCGTATGCGCCGGAGCAGCGCCCACAGGCGCTTGACCACCCAGATTCTGGACACGCCACTGGTT